TTGCAGCAGGAAGGCTGAAAAGTGCCACACGTGCCCAACCTGGTGAAAGCTTTCAGGAAACGGATGCCTCACATGGCATGTTCCCTGACAAAGCAGCAGAAATGCCACTGACGTTTGTCCTGTCAATTAGTGCTGACTGAGCATTTACTTCCCCTACATAGCCTGTGCAGGCGTGACCCCTTTGAATTAGAAAAATTTTACTAACTTATGCCTTAAATTTTATAAAGGTCTAGAGAGCTGTTGGCACACAGTAAAAATCAGAATGAAATAAAGTAAATCAGAAGCTGGAAAGCATCCCAAAAAACACCAGGTGTGTTTTTGCTAAAGGTGAGTGCCTGAAATCGGGGTAGAGATGTGGTTATAGCATGAAGTACAATACAAGGATTTCTGATAACAGAAACTGAAATCCCCTGCTGGTGAGTACTTTATGAGATGCCATGTGTTGTAGGATACTGTATTAGGCAGCTTCCTGAGCTTTGTGTGAATAGAGTTTCATTCTGGATATAATTTTGTCATATTAAAAATATTCTGAATTACACATTAGATTTCTTAGTTAATGATTATGTAATATCCATTTGCGGTCACAAGCCTGAAGTAGAATCTCCTCTCCTGTGCAAGGGGACTTAAAATACACGTTTTCATGCATTATGGCACAGAACTTACAGCTCATAAAGATGAGTGAGACTGAAAAGTTGGGAGAAGAGATATAAGAAAATATCTGTGGTTGTCTGTGGGCCCCTTTTTCATAAATTAAAATAATCTTGTAATTACATTTTTACTACAGAAACTAATTATGAATCATTCTCAACTCTCAAGCTGTAATAACAGGATAAATTTGTTACAGGAATTACGCAAAGATAGTTCTTAAAGAGAGATGTGAAAGAAAGGGGAATGCTCTTGCAAATTATGGAAAAAGCATGCTTATGTGAGAAACTGAAAACAAGTTAAGGAAAGCTGAGACCATGGGAAAATCAAAGAGGGTATAATGGTCTGTGACAAGAGACGGCAGTAGGAAATGACAAGGTTGTGAATAGCTTGGAAGAAGAAGGACATGAAAGGCAGGAAACTTAAACTTCCTTAACATTGCATCACATTTTATTTTTTACTTTTCTACCCTGTTAATAATTTCCAGCCTCTCTCTTAAAGTTATAGAAAGGTAGTATTTTCTGTTACCTTTTTTTAAACTTTCCTCTAATTTGCAGTCATTTAATATTAATATACAAGGGTTCCGGCAGTAAGCGATCCAGACTCACAGTCTGTGAGTATGGTAAAGACTAAATATCAACCAGTAAAGTAAGCACCACATTTTCCTCTTTTTCACACCCTCCCTGGGGCTACAAAGAGGTATATATCAGCATACTATTTTACCACACCAGAAGAAATCGGCTCCTTCTTTTAGTAGTAAGCCTGAACATGGTTATTAGTATATAATGTATTTAAAGAAGCCAAAGGGAATAAACTTTATCAGGTTTGAACATCTCCAGAAAATCATATTGATTTGAATCAAGAGAGTACAAATAACTATCTAACACGTTTTTAAGGTGAACTGCAAGAACATTTAACAGATATACCTTCAGATGCTCTGTACTTAGTTTTTATTTCTTTTTCTCCTCATTTTTTAATCTTTCTCCTCCTTGGCTAGAGTATTGTTCTCAGTTCAGACAGAAGTTGCCTATTTTAAGTGTGATAGTAAAGCATCAGGTGAGATTTTTTTATACTCCTAGGGTGTACAAAAAAGGCTAAGGGTAAAGGAACTCACCGGGGCTAAGTGGAGAGGGAATCTGTCTGATTTAAGCTTTTCCTTAAATTTTATCTCATTTGAAAGGCACAGTGACAGGTTTCACCAAGTAAGGCTGTATTATTCTTCCGGGAGCTGTACAACTGTTTACTGGGAGGAGGAGCATAACTAGATATAAAAAGGGGAAATGGAATGTTTCTTCTGGGTGGTGATTATCTCACTGGCTAGGATTGTAACCAAGCTCTGGGTGTGAGAAGAATTGAAAGGAGAGACTGTACTCAGCTCAAGAAAAGAGACTTACTTTCTGCTAACTGACCAACAAGAAGGCATTTGGCTTTTCCTGAGCATAGAAGAAATAATTTGGGTTATATTATTTGTCAGTCAACACATGACGACTGAAAACCTGGCCAGCCTTGTACAGTATTTTCAATGTGAAAGTTGGCCAACCGATTCCTTAAAAGCCTCAGAAACAGCCCTTCAGCTGCTGACAGGGATGCTATATAAGAAGACAACTTTATTGTGTGTCTCTTATTCCTGTATGTATAGACATCTATGTTTGGCTCTTTTACTGAAGTTCGCTAAGCTGGCATCAAGCATAGGTTTCCCAGGGTGTGTCTGCACACCATATTGCACCAGTTTGACTTAAGGTACCAATTTGACTTAATTTAATGAGTCTGAGACCTCTTATTTCAGCACACCTTGTATACTTGGAAACTAATGCAAGTTAAATTCAATATGGTGTTCAAAAATTAAAATAAGCATTCCCAAAGAGAAAGCGTATTGCAATTTATCAACATCAATTTAATTAAACCAATGAAATTCAGTTTGTACTAATTTATATCATTAAATCTTATTTATTGCACATATTAAGATAGACTGTAACAGGAACTTTATTGAATTTGGCATAGTGGATTTGCATTGTCTAATTGTTCTAAGGAAAGTTTTATAGGTAAACATCTCTTCACCTTCCTTCCTAAAATAAAAGTCTGAATCTAGCTGAAAAGTTCTGCTAGTGACATGTGGTGATAAATGACTGCTTTTGAAATTATTAGTAATTTTTTTTGTTTGGAATTAGTCTGCCTCTAATAAGCACTCTCCAGAAAAAGCACTGATAACAAAGGCACAAACTGACAGGCAGTGTAACAAGGTGATATTTGCAAGCACAGCAAATGACTTATTTTGCGCCTCTTTGTGTTTGTTATCCTAGTGACCACGAAGAATTTTTTCTTTTATCATTGATAATGCAAGAATGTGTTTTACAATAGTTGCTTCTTCAATAGCTCCTTCAGATCTTTTCTCCATCCTCATTTTGGATCTAATAGCAACAGAGGATTTCCAGCTGATAGTGTATTGGTTGAAAACCAGTGGGGATTGCTGAAATATATGGCTAAAATTGACAAAGCTCATTTCCTAAAACTGCACCCAGCATACAAGTAAGTGGCTTGATCTCTGGAAATGATGAGAACCATTGTATCTTAAGATATATTGTTAGCTCCTAAGGGTAGAAATGCTGTCACTTTGCCTGTCTGTCCGGAGGCTGGCACCGTGGGCCCTTCTTTGGGGTCTTTTGGGCACTTTTGTGATACAAATAATAAAACATTATTTTAAGAGAAAGTAAGGACATCACAGTACATTCACTTTTTAGTTAGAGCTTATACATGTCTTTGCAGTCCCACATCTTTAAGTAATCATGAGAGCTGGACCTTATTAGGATAGGAAGCACCTACTGTTGTATTGCGTGGAAGTTTGAGAGGAACTAAGGAAGTTAATCTTCAGAGGGACAGAGGCTATATCTTCCTCACAGGGCCTTTTCGGCTTACATGAAGGTATACTGAGCTGGAGGGTTCTGCTCTTATCTGTTCCGGTATGGGCTGTTGCTATTTTTGGGATGTCCGAAACTCTTATTATTGAGCAAGCCCTCATAGCCTATTCCTGGGTCAAGCAATGACCATTCCCCACTATTTTATGAGTGAGGTAACTGAGAGGTTGCGTAAGGTCATTTCAGGCAGAGCTGTGAATAGAACCCAGGGAGTTTCATACAACACTGCCAAGTCTCAGTCACTTAGCCACAGAGCCTTCCAGGATGAATTTGATAAGTCTGTGTTTGTCTGTCAGTAACCACTGCTCTAACTACCAGCTCTCACTGCACTCCCAGGGCCGGGACTGGACCCCCTGATTCAGTGTCGTTCCCCAGCTAGCTGCATTTACTTGCAGTGGAGTTTGAACGCTGTTCCTGTGCAAGGGCTGATCCACTTACAGGATAAGAGCCTACTTACATTACCAATTTGATTCTTTAATTTAGGAGGAAGAGATCTGAATACACTTGCCCACGCATGGAGGAGAAAAAAATAGTACCTGAGCACATAATTAAAGACAGGATCGTAATTCAGTTACTCAAGGAAGCAGAGTTGTGATTGGCATTTCCTAAATTTTGAGTGCCTGATTTAGCAACCTTAAAGTGCTTTTAACACATTTAAACTTGTATATTCTATTTCTGTCTACCTTTGCATGTAGGGTCTTCTCTAACTGTGAAGATACTGGAGAAACTGTAATTTGTGAGACAAGTAAATTTAGACGTTGTTCTTGAAGTATTCATCAGACTTTTATTGCCAATAGTTCAGCTAAACGGAGCAGCCATGTAAGAAGAGACTGGGCTGGAACCCTTCACAGTCCCAGACAGACAGCAAAGCGTGAGCAATTTTGCTTGTTTGTCTGTATGATGGAGATTTGGCTACGGGTACCTCCAAAAGGCCAGAACATGATTAAATAAGGAAAGCTTTCCAGAAAGCGTGATTCATTCTTCAGTGTGCAACTTTAGCATCTATCAGGGGACTAAATGCATCAGGACATTACTAATAAGTATTAAGCCTTTTGTATGAAGACAGTCGGTCTTAAATGTAGTTCAGCCTTCTAAATCACATGGCTTGAGTGGATCTCTGTATCACACATTTTAATCCCGTCATCATACTTGCATTAATAGGTGCTATCCACAGAGAGACAAAAAGAACTCACATGGGCAATGAAGGCTTAGCTACCTAGCCTTGTTGTCCCTAAAGAAAGCTGCTACTCACGCCGTATCAGCATGGAAGTGTGTTGGCTAGGCAACGTGCTTAGGGAGCTTGTTCTTTTGTTATGTTTTGAGATAGGGATGGTCAGAGAGCTGTCTTTAAAATAGAAGGGTACTTTGTCTCAGCCCTCCTGAATGGAAAACAAAAGGAAGAAATGATTTCCCTGGAGACCCTCTCTCAAATGCTGTCTATTATCATGATAGTTTTCAGGCAACAAGCAGAGACAACGTATGAATCTTTGATGAAACAACCGAACCACTTCCTTGGTTAAAAAACAGCTCAGTGTGCAGGGAGTTCAAGCTGTCATCACAGTACAAGTCTTTTAAATCCAGACCTCAAAAATTAATGTCAGGATCTGTGGGAAAACAGAAAGTGCTACGTATTTAGAAATCATGCAACATACTTATTTGAACTTAGGAGGCTGGAGATGAAGTCTCTGAACTGACTATCTCACATCATGGATTAGTGCTGTTGGCTTTACGTGACCAAAATACTCATGTGCATTTTTTCCTCCTTTTTGTTTTTTGTTTTGACCAGAGTCTTCACTCAATTGCAGGTGTAGCAAGTTACTATCTTTGATAATTTTTAAAAAAAATTGATTTTGTTAAAACAACCAGCTTCAATTATAAATCCGGTTTATGAGTGATAGGGAAGGGAGGCATAAAAGAATGACTGCAGAGGTGAGATGCTGTTTTCAGTTGGTGTAAAATCAGCCTACTTATTTTCAGTTTTTGTTAGGGATAGAAAAGCCACTGACTGTTAGAAAGAGGGTCTCTGATTATATCAATGATGCCTTATTCCGATCTCAGAACTTATTGAATATTGATAATAAAGTGAGAAAAGGAAATACAGAGAATGTTCTGAATTCTATTGTCTAGCCAAGGAAATGTAGAATAGAAAAGAACAGGTACAGGTAGGTAAACAGATCATTGGGAGGGTATTTGATCTTCAGAATAATTTCATTGACATTTCAGATATTTTCACTGTTTCTGATTTTCAGAGTCATAGATTTTTAAGGCTAGAAGTCCCTATCATTTAGTTTGACCGCCTGCCAAATACACCCACTATTCAAGCCTGTAAGGGCAGTAGTGATTCTTTTGGAAGAACATGCAGGAGTTTATAGCTTTCCTCTTGACTTTCTGAAAACATCCTCAAAAACTCTTTTGGGGTGAACTCTTAGGAGGTGAATGATTGCTGTCACTTCCCCCTCTGTGAAACCTAAGCATGTGATTAATTTTTGCCAAATTATTTTTGTTGTCATTGTTGTATTTGTTACTTTGACAACACTGAAATACAGACTGGCCTGAAGAAATAATTTATTTCACTGGAGGCTGTGAGGAAAGTTGTTCATTTCGTGGGAAAAAAGCTTGCCGTTAGTTTTAAAGATATCCATTAATTTTTGTGGACTGAATAGTTAAGCTGAAAATTTCAAAGGAGCCTAAGAGAATTAGGAACTCAAAAAAATCTCAAGCCACCAAAGTCCCCAGCTTATCTGATGTGTAGAACATCAGACGATTTAAATAAATCTTAAACTAGCATAACTAAAAAAAACCTTAGCAGCTGTTCAATAGATGCTAGGGCAGGCCCGTTATAAAATGTACTACGGTATGCCATAATGGTTAGGATACCAATATGTTCTATTTTTAGTACCATTGACTCAGTCACTTGAGTTCAGAAAATAAGCAGGGAACATCTGCTTATTGAAAGGATTTCCTCTATAGTAATTTCTTTCTCTATTCTATCCTTTTAAAAACATTTCCAAGCTTTTTAAAATTTTTTTACTGGTTCTTTTATGAAGGTAATAGAATATATTTCCTAATATCCTGATACAGCATTGACTTTTTTTATTATTAATAATTGATTCAGTGAAAAAAAAATATTAGCTAATATTTCTTTAAAAGCTCTTGGGGTTACTTTTGCTTTGTTTCTGTTAAATTAAAATCGTCTGATGTCCCTCCTTACTGCTACTATACCAAAGATTGTACTGCTGGAATTGTAAAAACAAATATCAGCTTAACTGCTGTCCACGACTGTCCAATGTCGCTGTCAGAATATGTAACAGCTATTCAGCCAAATATTTGTAGAGCAGCTGTACCCCTAGTCCAACTGAGTCCTATTCCATCCTTCCTTTTAGCCCTGCCATATGATTCATCTTTCTTCTTTTAGAATATTAGTCTATTTTTAAATATTGTACAAGAAAGCAACAGCAACTTAAAGGTAAACACTTTCATATCAGCATGATACAACTCTGTAGATTTACAGCAAATTTAGTATTTTCCAGAAGGGAAATTTTTGGGACAGGGTGTACAAAATGAAGGCGTATGGGAGGGGGAGGTAATGCTTTTTGTTAATAATAGCAAGAATCCTCCCCCATAAGATACAGTACTTCACTTTGGTTTCCGCAGAAGTTCGTTGTTTTGCCTTTGCTTTTGCCTCAGTGTCACTGTATTTTTTTTTCTTCTCCAGGCATTCCTTCCTAAAAATTTTTGTTTACATAGGTTTTCACAACAGCATGCAGACTGAAACTAAGGATAAGCATGTTTCCATGGTGCCCAGCTCTAGCTATGCTAGTTGAAATAATGTTTGGACTGTATATTAGCCAGTATGTTCATTCCTGATAGAATAAGATGGCTTATTTTACTTTTTGCCCCTAACCTACTTTGCTGTGTGACCACTGATGACAGGATAAAGAGATAAAAAACGTTTGACACATAATTTAGATCCTAGTCTGTACTCATTAAGAATATACAGAATACTGCTTTGACACATGGTTCTTTTAATCTTTTGGGGACTTTGTAGTAGCATGCAAGTCTGCCAGCACAGAGCAGTTTGCAGAATTTGACCTATGTTAGCAATTTTCTCCTGTGAGAGCCATCCTTGTTTAATTTTGACACATTACAAATAATGGACTCTGTAAGCTAGCTAATAGTAACCTTCTCTTCACCTCCCATAACCTGTAGTCAGATACATAAACAGTCATCACAATCCAGAGCAAAACTGATAGTGTGAAAGTCAGCAAGTAAGAAATATTGCAGTAGCTAGTTGTGACGCTACCAAGTATGATTCATATTGCTGATCTCCGTCCAGCTACTAGTGGGCAGGTGTCCACATAACAACGCTGACGTAACTGGCACACTCTGTCCCACCTTGCTGCAAGCCTGTGCTAAAAATAAAGAAATAAATAAAAACACAGTTTGGCTGATTGTCGTGAATGAGCTGACCCTATCACATAAGGAGAGTTACCTACAGGTCAGAGTAAAGGTATTTCTTTGTGGTATGAAGACGTTTGTGGTGCTTCCCCATTCTAATCCTATCTGTGTAGGTAACAGGCTTCTAGTTCCAGGTTTGCCACTCTGGTTTGTGCATTCTTGTGATTGCCTTTGGAGGGTGGGAGAAAGCCTTTCTGTTAGTGCTGTTTTAACCCTGGTAAGCCATTGTACTGTGATGGGCAAGACATCTTTCCCTTTCCTTCAAGTCATGACCTATTTGGCAGTAAGGATGCTATCTGTGGAAGAATCTTTTAATTCTTTGCACTGTATGGACAACTCAAGAATAAAGATTGTTTGGATTTACTGTTTTTATTACATTATCACATGTTCTATTTGTGTAACTGGTTTTGTTTTGCTTCCTAATCACCGCAGTAGAAATTAGGGTTCCTGTCTTCCCAACGTTTTCTTATTTCCAACTCACTAGTGTTTTCAAGGGGTTTATTAAAGTATCTCAAGTGTGGAAAGGTAAGCATATACAAAGGTGTTTGGAAGGTCCTGATATTATAGTGGATATATGCAATGTACAACTACATTACCAGATCATTTGAAATACCTTTTCAGTAGATTCTGGCTTCTGACTTCGTGTTTACCTTTTAGATGATGCTTCTTCAGAAGACTCCTTCGCTTTGGCATTTCCAGAACTAGATCAGCAGCTGCAGGTAAATTTGTTTTATTTATTCATTCATTCTTTTTATATATTTATATATATTTATTTTTATTTAGATATATTTATTTTATTTATATTTTAATTACCTTTCGACTTCACGTTGATTAGATTTATTATGGTAGAAAACTCTGGATGTTACACTAAGATGGGATTTTCAGTGTTGCTTTTTTAAACCGTTAACATTTCTTGAGACTTTATGTTTCCATAAAAGGATATATTTTCCTTTCAAGATCTGCAGAAAAATCATTTGACATTTGTAATCGAATTGCAGAGAAATATGGTTATTTTTACAATCTCACATGCTTTTTTATTTTTTACAATTGGTGTGTAAAACCTAGCTGGGCACACACTGTTGCCCTACAATGAACAGTTCTTGTGATTTTGATGGGAGAAGGTATGAGCCAGGTATTATATTCTAACACCCACAAGCTGTGCGAAGATCGGTATAATAAACTTTCTCTGAAGCATTCCAAGAGAATGCAAAAGTATATTTTGCAGCACCATCTTATTTCTGATCTTGCTTAACTGGGGCCAGTCTCCAGTGTAGATGATAGCATCCTCAGAGTTACTCTAGTTTATGCTGCATAGCCAGCAACCCTAGTGCTTGCTCTAGCAGATGTCTGCAGACAGGGCAGGGCAAAAGGGGTGAATGCTTTTGACACCAGGCTAATTTGTGATGCCGGAGTAGCAAAACGGAGCCCTGATACATTGCTCAGTCAGATGTCAGTCTGTGGAAACTCCATGGTTCAGTGGGCGCAGAGCCAGTTCTGTATCCAGGGATTATTTCCCTTTCCTCTGTGGCAGTTCTGGAGTGTTTGTTGGCCGTTGTAAGGTACTTCAGATCATCTGTGTCCCAGGAGCATTTAGACTTCCTCTGATATTTCAATATGCAGGCAGTTGTTTCCTGAGTGTAAATTGAGAAAGGCATTAGCAGACCATGTTGTCCAATGATGTCACCCTTCCTGTCCCCATCAACTAGTGAGACAATACTGGAGGGCTGCTGATCTAAAAGATTTTATTTTCTCTCCTGCTACTCTCATCAAAAGAATGACTGGAGAAGGAACTGAGGAAGACAGAGACTCTTCTTGCTCTATCCCTCAAATCCTGAGAGTGGAGGCAGGTTCCTTCACTGGGCATAACTAGGAAAGATTAAAGGGATGAACAGCAAAATAAGATCAGCACTGAGGGAAACAGGGTAGTATGTTTGCCTCTTCATTCTGCTGGCCGTCCAGTGCCGCAAAGGACAACTGATATTTTATCCCTCAGCAGAACTAAAATTGAGAAAAGAAATACTGTTTTGTGGCTGAAGTGCTGAACTGAAATTCAAGAACCTGCATTCTTTTTCTCACTCTGTCAGTGACAGATTGTGTGATCCTGGAGAAATTGCTTCTTTCCTGTTCATCTGTGCAATTAGGTTAATAATTTTTATCTTCTTTGTTAAAGGACATTGAGATCTGTGGGTGATGAGGGCTCTAAAAGAGCAAAGTATGATTATCCTTGCTACTGTATTGGTAAATAGAAACAAAATTACCCGTGCTAGGTGTAGGTACTTTGCAGGCAAAATGATTTTTTATTAAGACTTTTACAACCCATTTCTGGAATGTATAATGTACTCTCTAAATGTGCACTTCCGTGATAGATTGAAATTGTTGCCCTGGAAGCATTCAAGTCTGTTGGATAAATAATAGCCCTTGAGTAAAAGTTTTCTAAGCGCAGACAGAGCAATTCCCCTAAGTACACTCTTTTGGTCTGTTAAGTACCTAGTATTTTTTCAAGAGAAGCCTAAATCTTTCCTTTACCCTCATGATCTCAAGATGACAATAAATTCAAAGACACAATCAAAGACTTTGATACAGATAATGTTCTTTTTATTATCCTTCAGAAACTTTTTTTTGGTAGTGAGTTCGAAGGATAACTTTTGAGAAGAATCTGACTCAGCCACTCAGAAGTATAAAGTTAGTGTTGGTGCTTCATCTTTTAGCTTTTCAAGCCTAGGCGTTCATTTATGTTTAGATGTCGTTATGTCCAACCTGAGGTGGCTATGTCAACGCAAGGTTCTGAGTTGATGCTGTGGTAACAGGGCATTTTGCTTTAGCAGTGAATACTTGAATTTCCTTGCTCATGTCAGTCTGGATCACAGCTTGAAGTTGTAAGCATTTAATATAATTGCGTGGTATATAAACTGCTTTAATGTTTCAAACACGCAACAACTGCAACAAAGTTACAATTTACCTAGTTGCATTTTCTTATTAATTGCGTTACTTTTTTAAATTGCTATGATCCAAACTGGTAATGATGTATCAGCTCTGTATAGCATGTGGTTGCAATTTATGTTAATGTAACGAACCAGCTTTGAAAGAGATAGCTCCCATATTACAGTAGGAAATTAACTGTAACAACGTGGACTTCAGCTTTTTGTCCCTTGTCATTCCAACCACGCTTTTCTCTATCCTAAAGTTAGCTAGTGTAAACCAGCACACATGAGGTTTCGTGTAAATGTGCCCTTTAATCAGCTGTGGCACAGCAGTTTGAAATGCTTGAATTTGTAAGAATGCTGGTACATAGTTTCATAATAAAAATATCACAGCTAGACCCGCAAGATTTTCATCACCATACCATAAATACGATCAAAGGCATTAACATGTTATTTAAAGAAATAAACTATAAATGCCTGGTAAGGTGGCTAAATAATAATATGCCCTTAAAAAAATGTGGTAACTTGCCAGCTCGAACATATAGAGGAAGATTTTGAAACTTGTAGGAATGAAGAGCCCAAATTAGTTGATCTTTGGGTTGGATTTTGAAAGTGGCTTGAAAGATATGTAAGTTCGCTGAGTGACTTGGAAAATCGGAGCCTTAGAATTTTATGCATGCAGGCAGCAGACCACAGCCTGAATCTCAAGCAATTTGCACCTCTGTTTTGGGCTTCAAGCCCTTGTCCTTCTATGTTAGGCCCTGGCAGACAACTTGGCTGTCTGAGCAGAATTACCTAGCGTTCCCTCTTTTCCTACCGTGATCCTGCCGTACTTACTCCTTGGGCACTGGTATCCGATGGCAGGGCAAAGTTCACTGCAGCCTCCCCCCATCAGGGTAGTGAAAACTGCTCTCAGAGCACCGATGCCAACTTTACAGAGTTGGAGGTAGAATTGGCTAGAAAAGGTATTTGTGGAAGACTAATTGCAAATAATTCATGCTCTACAAACACTCCTCTTACTAGAGAACTATTTTAACATTTGAAAGTTAGAGCTTCTTTCTGAAGAATAAAAATAAGCAGTTGAGCATTTTGATCTACTACATAACATTTTCAATCTGAATCTGTCTTCTCAGATTACCTTTCTGAACGTTACATTTTCCAGTATTTTTAAGGGAAGAAGTTCCAACAAGTAATTTGTAAGAAAATAACATCTCTAGTGTAACTCAAAAGTTTTATTTTTATTTTTTGGGTTTTATTTTAGAAATATAGGGTCACCTCGGATACAGAAGCCCTATATATGAGAACAGAGGAGCTTAAACTATGTAGAGGAAAAGCTTGGTCTCTTTTGCAGGTTTATTAATAAAAATCATGCAGTTCCTGAGATGCCCAGGTAAAACAAAGCTCATATGAATACAGTTTTTTCTTTTGATTTTTTTTTTGTTTGCAGTCCTGGAATTTTTTGTCTTCCCACTGAAGAGCAGCACTTTGTTTTTTTGGTTTCAAGTGTTTTTTTCGCCCCCCCCCCCCGCCCCCAGTGTAAGCAATGAAGTCAGTAGTGCAGAGAAGTTAGGCTCACTACGTTTGTCAGTTTGTTATTGGGAAAAATTAACCTTTGCCCTATGTAAAAGTTGGACTTGGCCTTGGAAGGCACTTCTTTGATTAGCTGCATATTGGGTGATGGCCTCTCTGACAGACATTCTACTAGTGGCTATTTGCTATATTTAGATGCTACATCAGCATCTAAGGCCTTGTTGTTCAAGTCACTGAATATAGATGAAGGTATCCAGTGTTAAGTACCCACATTACTAAGCCCTGTATTTTGTCTCTCCTATCCCAGCATTTCCTGTGATTTGCTCAGTTCCACTCCCTCTTCTCTGTGAAACTCTTTATTCCAGCTGAGAGTTTCATCCTGAATAGGGAAGAACAGAAGTCACATACAGACACACAAGGTGTTCTGTAACTCTGTACCATCTCATTTCATGAAATCATGAGCCTGACAGAGGCATTTATATCCTATTTGGCACTATACATCTTTTGAAATCAATGGAGTTAGATGACCATAAAATTGCTGCAAGAGAGAAGAGGCTCCAGCCATTTATCGTATCAGTGTATTAAGTCAAAGGGAAGTTTTTCATGCTTCAGTTGGAAATGTCTATACAAAAAAGCAATGAAGATATTTTATGTTATGAAAGGGACAGTTTGTTATATGTGACACACATTTAGCAGAAGCCTTGTTTCCTCTTGAACTTGGATAATGGAAATCTCACTTCTACTGACTGTCAAGACCCTCAGTAGAGGCATACAAATAATTTTAGAAAGTTTTAAAAATATACTGTATTTTATAATATTTGGTATTTTGGAATATGGATTAAATTCCAAGAGAATTTCCAGAGTGTCTTGGCACCCTAGAATTAGATGTCATGGCCTATGAACTTGATAAGTCTCCTTTAATATTATTGTAATAACTATAATCTTATTTTAGGTTATGTAAATCATGCATATTGACAAATTCAGAGCACCATACTAAGATTGAAAAAGAATGGAAGATCTCTCAGAAAGGAGATTAAAAACTCTCAATTCCTTCCATCCAGCTGCCTTGAAATTTTTGGAGGGAAGAGAGCTGCTTATTTTCTTAATAACCTTCTGAACTAGACTAGATTTTTGAGATTGGCTGAAGAGTTGCAGTTACACAACAAAACCTAGTTACGATGTATAGCTATCAGTTTTACTTAGTATAATGTGGTTATGGAAGATGGAAGAGTACACAAGGCCATATAATGAGCATGGGCCACGTGCAGAACATTGTCACTCAACTTTCTGTATCTCCAGAATGGTGTAGCTGGAAAAAAGCAAATCTACAGAAAGTGAGACACCACTCTTTAAGTGGACGAGTGCTAAGGACTGCCTTCTAGGTGGGTCCACATGCTCAGCTGCCAAAAATGCATGACACAGTATTTTTCCTTAAACTTTGACCTGTTCAGAAGCAAACTTTGATTTATTTTTTTTTTCCTCCAAGAGCCCAGAATCAAAAAGTAAATGCAAACAACCCAAAGTACATTAACAAACAGAGCATTTTAAAGTTTTTGAACACTCGAGTAACACTATCAACTGCACAAATCTTACCAGTTCAGCTGTGGTCTTTTGTGGATACAGAATGCTGATATTCATATGGGAAGGCAAAAAAGGCAAAACACACAGTTACGCAAGTAGAGTAAAAAAAGAATACAAACTGAAAACAACTGTCTTTTAGTGTCCCCTAGCAAAGATTTTAGTTAGAACAGCTCCTTCAACCTGTCTTAAAAGACAGTCAGCTCAAGCTCTTCTGTTTCTCCGTGAACTGCCTTTTCATGGCATCTTTCCACATCTTTCTTTTCTATTCCAAATAAAAATGTAAACAAATAGTGCGTGTGTCATGTACAGGTGTACACATGCTTTTGCATTTACAGAACAGCCTGTAACGGGGTGGGGTCTCCTAGTGTCTACTTGCTAGACTCTGTAAAAAGTTTGTCAAAGCGAATTGTTCAATAAACTACAGAGAAATTTTCCCTTGCCCAAAACTAGGGATAACAAGACACATGAGTAGTATCAGTGAAAGCTGTAGCTTTTGTACTAGCTTTGTGAACAAAACGAGAGATGCTGTGTGCGCATATTTTGCCAGCACAGGAAAATGAGGGTGGATGACACTGAAGCCTGAAATAAGCAGGATTAAAAGTAGCAACTGTTGCCATTAAATATAACTTTCTTTGGCAGGGGCTTTTTTGCTTATGTAGCAGGTATGCTTTTATATATATTGATTTCTGAATGGGCAAGATATGTCATGAATTAACAAGCTGGGGCTGTACTGAGGAGAAATTAAAGTATGATGGTTGGATTCTGAGGGAAAAAATACATACTGCAAACTGATATTTATTAAGGTCTGTTCCAATTAGTTGCCTATGTAAACTCTTACCAAAAAATAGAATACAGGCTTCAGGGATGAAAAATGCTTGGCCTGGGAACTCCTTTTCTTTTTCGCTGCCAGAGGTGAGTTGCTGAAAGAATGCCATCAAAGTAGCATCTATAATACTGCATATGGCTTGGTCACAGGCATGCCAAAAAAGCATTCAAGCTGAAATGAGGGGCAGAACAAGACTGCTAGAATAACCTAGGGAGAATGGAAATGTCACCTAGGAGGGATTAGAGGAATGTAGCTTGGTTGACCTACCAAGATGTAGGTTTGGGAATTATATGATACATCACAGAGGTAAAACAGACAGGATAGAGAAGGACTACTTAAACGAAGGACGGTGCTGGCACAGGAAAAACACAAGCTTATCTTCAGTGCAATCAAACAGGAAATTAGAAAAATATTTCTGATCCTTGATAAGGCTCTGGGGCAGACTTCTGACTGGGGCAGGGGACTTAAGTTGTTCTAAGGTAGAACTTAGTAAGCTCATGAATCCCAGGTTTTGCCTGTGTTAGCAGAGGACAGGACTCAGTGGTTTTGTAGGTTCCTCCTAACCCCATTTAGATGCATATGGACTAGTCCAGTAATTGTTACTATTCTGTTATTGTTCTCTCTGCTGCGGAAATAACTTAATGCTGTAAATGTCTGCTGACTATTTGGAGTTACCGCTTCGGAACAAGTAAGTTTTGCCTCTGTTTCTGCATTTGTTTTTTCAGGAGTTTGCCTTGCATCTTCTGAAACGCTTTTCCTGATGAGGACAAGATGTATCATTAATTCTCTGTACTCTTGTGTATGTTGAAAAAGTAGGCTGGAAGAAGATAGGGGTGAAATAATTTATCTGTGTTTATGCGTTGGTTTGTATTTTCTGGTTGGCAGAAGAGAACTGACTAGACTGTTTTATCTCCACATTTTTCTTGTCGTTGTAATAAAGCAATCTGTTAAATAAGGAATGCATAAGCCTGTATTTCATGTACTACTGGGCAAATATTACTCATGTTAACTCTAGGCAGTATCTGCAAAAACCTCTGACAGAAATTTCACGTTTTCAAGAAGGCAAACCAAAATGCTCAGTCATCCGGACCCAAAAAATCGTAATCAAGTTTACATCTTAAAGTAAAAATGTCACTCCACCTTAACTTTTATGTGGTAAATAGGCAGCTTTTCACCATGAAAAAAAGTTCTTGATTTAGCAGTTGATAGCATCACTCAAGATTGAAGCAGAACTGTTTGAAAAGAATATTAGTAAATGACTGTATTTCTTGTTGTCCGTTTATTTTGAGTAAAAACTTAAAATATCACTGTAAGAAAAAATGACACTGAAGAGGAAACAATGAGGGGAAGGGGTTTCCAAGTCAGCAACTGGTTCTATGTGGGAATTAGATACTAAGTCTCAGCATGACTAGATAATTTTTAGCTCTCTAAATATAACTTTTGAGTGGGAAGCTGGAATATAGAAACTGAATGCTGCTTTAATTTTTAAACTGACTTAAACCGGCTAGATTTTAGGAAACTAAGTTAGAAGCAAGAGCAATTTTTTTCTCTTCTGAAGGATCACTGTTTAGGGACTTTCCCCCGGGTACTGTTCAGAATTGTTTTATTGTGATGCATTTGTTGTTTGCTGATCTCTGGTAGATACCAGAGCTACTTTGGCTCACCCTTGCATTCTCGGATTAGAGCACTGAGACTTCTATATTCTGTCCTGTTTAAATTTATGCTTATTATTTGGGTGGCTATACGGATGGTGCTATTGCTCATCCCCATTGAAATGCAATTAAAATCCCTTTCCTAGGAACCAGCTTGACCAAGTAATGGACAGCTCTTTCC